AAAAGTAGAAGAGCTCTCCAGGGGGCCAGAAAAAGTAAACCACAAGGAGGAGGACTGAACTCTGATTAAAGGATGGTGGCAACATGAGTAGACCTCAGAGCAGAGGTAGCGTTGCTCGGGCTATTGGCCAACCAGTGTGGAGAACTCACTGTTGCTGTTCCACTGCCATTTGAACGGCTGCTGTATCATACATTCTGAGTGACTCAAATGTCCTCCCTGCCTTGCTCCCATCCCTGTTATCCTACTCAGCAGGACTCGTATTTACTGTCTTCCATTTGCTAGGGTAGCTTTCAGGAGAGAGTCATGTCAATTCTGTTCTTTGCCTCCCTCTCCTGCAATACCTGCTCCCTGTCTCTCTCCTCCATGACAGGATTGTCCATAGAGCATGTCTGAAATGGGGTATGGACACCACCAAGGTCTTTGCCCATCACCATAGGTTCTTGCCTTCATGAAACATCTGGCTTTCCTCTTGCAGGGCACAGCACACCCTGTGACCACCATCAAGAGTAGCGATGTGGAGAAGGCCTACCTGGCGTACTGCGCACCAGGGTCTGATGCCCAGGCAGCCACCCTGAAGTTCCAGGCTGGGAAGCACAACTACGAGTTAGACTTCAAAGGTATCCCCTGACCCACTGCCCTTGCCCAGCAGAGCCGGCCCTGGGTTGGCTCTGCCTTTCCACATTGCCCTGGAGGAGCTGCCTGCTCGCACTGAGGAAGGGAAGGGGAGGCAGGTCCATCTGGAAGGGGAGGCAGACCGGTAAACAGGCGATGCTGGCACTGTGGGGTCGAGGAGAAGATGCATCAGGGGTGTGAGGAACAAGAAGCCCAGGAGGGGACAGGAGCCCCAACTGCAGAGGGACTAGCAGGGTCAGCACATGTGCAGTATGGTTGTCCTCCTGTGTCTGAGAACTAACCCCAAACCTGGACAAGTGTCTAAGTGGCTCTTTTGTGCAGTGTCTGCCTTGTCACTCCTGGTGTGGCAGTCTGTTGTCATTTTTCTGTAGGCACCTTTGGCACCAGCCAGGTGAAACGTTGGTAGAATATACTGTAATTAAAGCCCCTGGGAAGCAGATTTTCGTGTACTCATGGTGACCTGAAACTGGGGCTAAAGTGATTGATTCTTCATCCCAGTTGCCTTAAGAGACAGAAGTAGGCCACTTGCCCTTTGGCCAGTTCCTCCGGTGGCTGATTTGTGAGAATTTTTTTAAGTTTTAGTTTTGCTGTAGTTTCTCCTAAGCCACTTCCACGTGAGTATCAGTTCAGCTTTGTTCAGTTTAATTTTGCCTGTATCTCACATTTTAAACTTTGGGTCCTTCTGAATGTTCAGAATGTTTATAAGGGAATAAGTGGGCCTTTCTTTAAACACAGTTTTTGGTTTTCTTTGTTTTTGTGGACCTTTATTCTATGTGGAGAGCCACAAAGTGTCTCTAGTGAATTATCCTAAAACCACTTTGGCTGCCTGCTTTTGGCCAATTGCTTTTGCTTGTGGTTTTGCGGCACTTGTGGTTTTGCTTAAGGTAGACGTGCACACCAGTGCACAGTGAGAGCGAGGGCAGTAATCAAAGAAAGGCAGGACGGCGCTGGAGATCAGGGCTGCGCAGCTAGAGCTCGTTTGACTGCTATTGGTAATAGTCTGAAATATTTATTTTAAATATCTGGAAAATATCAAAACAAGTACACGAAAACAAATGTCAGATGCCACCTTTATCATTCTCAACTTAGGCCATACCTCCGGGGACATAACAGAATCTCAGGATGAGGATGGGGAAGAGCCCACACATGTTGTTTGAAAAAGAGCATGTTCACTGCAGGCTGGCCTAAGCTCATTTGGGTGGACACAGTTCTTTTTTGTTCTTTGTTTCTGGTAGATAACATTAGCCACAGAAGAAGTTTGAGATGAGCTGGCTTCTCCCCTCGCAACCTGACTGCTAGATACAATGAAAGCAAGCCTCAGACCAAGCCCTGCCACACACATTTATTAACTATTTATTAGGAAGCAAGTATACACACACACACAGCAGCGCAGATGACTTGTTCTGTAGGTTCATGGAAGACTCAGCTCTGTCCTTTAGGGACTCTTGTCACAAAAGATTCACACAAGGCAAATGCCAAGATTCCAGAGGCAGAGTTCTGGCATTTTGTTAGCTGGCATCTGATGGGGCAGAATCCCCCAAAGTCAGAATTCATTTAGGGACGTAGTCTCGTGTAGCCTCTGTAAGGGTAAATTAGGGAAAAGGTCTCCCTTTACTCTGTCCATGGAAGGGTAGAGAATGTGTCCAACACATATTTAGCTGGTCCATATATCTTGAATAACTTTTAATTTCATCAGTGAAAGCTGTTTAAGATTCATCACAGATGGTAAAAAAGC